AGCCGGAGCGAGACCGAGACCGCTGTAGAAAACCAGGGGTAGCAAAGGCTGAAGGGGTGACTCCCTTCTCCGAGCTCCCTGAAACGGGTCTGCGTTGCCAGACCCCCTCCGAGCAATTACGCAAAGAAAGTTTAACATAAAACTCATTTTTAAATTGGTTACAGGTTGCGCCGAGGACCCGTGCCACACCGTAACCCCGTGTGGGTATTTCGTTTCCCTGCAGACCAGGGGCCCAGGAGCTGCGGAGGTAAGCAGCCCTCCTCCAGCACCCACCCTGCCACAGGGACAAGGATGGGGGAGAGGAAGCAGCAGCAGTGGCTGTGGTGGGGACAGCCCTCGTCCAGCGATGAACGTGGCATCCCAAGACTGCTTGTGTTAGATGTAGCCAGTTCCACGCTGTTCCGTGTAGAAGAAAACCCAGCCTTTTGGGTTCTAGCGCAGCAGTCTTCATTAGGAGCAAAGTATAGAAAACGGGATACAGCAAGGCTAGAACATGCTGCTTGAAAAGCCCAGAAGAGTTTAAGCTCCCTTTGCTACTCTTACCAAATCAAAAAGCCATTAGCCCAGCATTAAAGCCAAGTGTGGTCCTGTTTTGCGCAGGAGAGGGGCTGCAGCTCAATTCTGGCAATTCTCAACGCTGCAAATGATAATTTACAGATTCCCATCTCCGAGATCTCAATCCCCAACTTTTAAATTTATTAACAACTTAAAACATAGGTTTTAAAAAATGGGGAACTTAGCACATCATGGGGCTCCATGCTCTTCACAACAGTCAGGGCAAATTATCAAACTCTTAGTTACACAACCTCCTTTCAGAGATACAGCCTCAAACTGATGCATTCAGGTCAAGTGTCCCATTTGTATGAAATAGCTCTGCATACTGCAACTTTTCACGGTGATTCAGCCCAAAGGTAGGCAGCCAAGATGTATATGCTTGGAAAACTCAATTTTCCATCACTTTGGGTCCTCCGGTGCTTGCAGGTCACGTGAGGTCCTGCAAATAAACCTTGGCTCAAGACCTGCTGGCACAGGTTTGTTTTACACACAGGCTGTGCTCATTTTATCTGTGTGTCCTTTTTTTTTTATATTTTTGTTTATGTGAAAGAGTCAGCCCCAGGCAACAAGTTTTCCTGACCTTCCTACTTCGCAATCACACCTCTTCCTGCTTCTTTTTGTTTCATTAGGAGAATCAGCCATGTGCTTATTGCCACCTTACACGCTTGTATTGCATCCCCTCTTCAGGGGTTTAAAACGCCTTTTATCAATGCAAGTAATTCAAGCTTTCCCATCCCTGGAGTGAGCTATCCCTCATCTTCTTGACAGGTAGCAAAGCAAGAGGCAGAGAGGGACAGGCAGCGTGCTCAGTGTCACACAGCAAGTCAGAAAGAACACGTAGAAGAATTCTTTGCGAGTGCTGCAGCTGTAAAAAAGGTTCTCCGTCCATTTGAAAAAAGCATGAACCCACCTGAGATGGTAGTCTTAGATACTTCAGCAGACCTAGGAGGGAAGACACTCCTGGCTGGGGCATGGAGTCACTGTTTATTCAGTGGTGTGACCAGAACCAATTTATTTGCAGCATATTGAAAAAGCAGGGAAGATACTTCCAAAAAAAGGCCCTTGTGGAAAAGGCTGGAGACATTTGTTCCAAAAAGAAAAACATTCCTGCAGTTTACCTCCAGGCTAGCTCTTATCAAGGTCTTTACCTATCACCATGCTGTTTCTCCTGGCTGCAGTCAGATCTGAAATGTTCTGTAGATGGAAAAGAGCTTAGAGCAATCCCGAGCTGCTCTCACAGCCAAACATCTGCTCACCCAAACAGCATTCCAGGCGTGCGTTACACCTCCCAGCTTCACAGCAACACACAGGGACAGCGGGGAAGAAAGGGGAAACTATTTCTCAGGCATTTACAGTTGGTTTTAATAGTCAGGGAGCCTTTTGGATGCATGGGTGGCATCCAGACTTTTGCCCCGGGTAAAAAGGCGGCTCGGGATCCATGCTGACATTTTCTGGGAGGAGAAGACATGCTGGGAAAATGAGGTTTTCCTCTTGGATGCTGTTAAGACCCTATTTGTTTTAAACAGAAGCTAACAGCTAGAGCACGCAGTACAGAGGGGAAAGACTTGCAGTAGGGATATGGAAAAAGTAATCTACAGGGTAAAAGGTTCCTCTCCCCCCCGCTAGCCTTCCCTCTGCTTTTCAGCATCACAACACAGAGGCTAAAATATATTTTAAGGCACACTCCCCCCACACCCGCTTTGCCGACTTCCAGCAGTCTCAAAATTGCAATCCCTTGGGGCTGTAGAGTGTCTGCTCCCCCAGTGGCTTCTATTTCATCTTCGGGTAGTTCCCCGAGCGGGTGACCGACTGCTGCTTTTGCCGACTGCTGGCACCATCTGCAGGCCCCTGCAAGTGACGGAAGATGAAGTACTCGGTCAAGTTTCTCACACTTCAATTTGAGTCTCATTGCCAGTCAAAATGGGGAAGAGACAGATTGCCACGGGCTGTGGCAGGGAGAGTTTGGCAAAGGCACCAGGATCCACGCACATCGTTGACTTAAGAAAACCCCAAGGCAACGCTTTCAGCGGAAGCAGTATGTTGTCACATGGCCAACTCAGATTAAATTTTATACTTCACATATGGATTAGACTAGGATTATGAACACCTCTGAAAATGTTATTTTCTCTTCCTAAGAGGTTATTTTTGGCTAAGAGGGAGATAGAGTATAGCTCATTCTGGAACATTGCCCATGTCATCTGTTGCAAAAAAAGAAAAAAAAAAAAAAAGGCTTAAAACTTGGCTCTAAAACCCTTACCCATGTGACTGCTTTCCCAACTGGACCGTTTGTGTTGCATTTACAGCTCTTTAGGTTCAGGATTGCAACAGAGCAAGTGCTGAAGAATACAGTAGTGCCTCCTGAGCCAGCCAGCCTGATACTTAATGTACTCACCCTTGACTTGCTTCTGTAGGACCCGTCCTTTGATGCGATCAGCATTGCTCTGCTGGATGGTGCTTGTAGGAGCGTTGATTTTTGGCAGCACCTCTAGCGGAGTCCCCTCTATCAAAGGCAGGGAGGGCTTCATTATAAACAGTGGGAGCAGAGCACAGTTTAAAAACATTTTGCAATGCAGGAGTCTCTAATAGGACATTGGGAAAAACTTTTTCACCAAAAGGTTTGTTAAACATTGGAACAGGCTGCCCAGGGAAGTGGTCGAGTCTCCATCCCTGGAGGTATTTAAAAGATGGGTAGACTAGGTGCTTAGGGACATGGCTTAGTGGTGGGTTGGCAGGGTTAGGGTAATGGTTAGACTTGATGATCTTAAAGGTCTTTTCCAACCTAAATGGTTCTATGAATAGCTAGGCAAAATAAATTATAGCTCATGCAGGATGTCACCAGTGGCTCTTTGGCCCCTACCTGAATGGTGGCCGATAGGAACCTTGACTTTTGCGGCAATGGGTACGCTACTCACAGCTTTTGACTGACGGAAGAGTCTAGCTTGGTGCAGGTGGCTCTCACCAGCTTTGTCTGTATTGGGGGTTGAGGGAGTCCAATGCTTTGCTTTCGAGATCTGAAAGACACCAAGTTGTGTTAACCTCAGTGGTGATGTCTCTTACCTCTGATTGTTGCCACGTTGTACCAAAAATACTCCTTTCCCACCTGAGTGGCCTAGCTTGCTGTTTAGGCAGGAGGTCAAGGGCATTATAGAAGAATAAAGATATTTAACTTATTTCCGCATGCAGTTTGTACTATCTTTGTCTTAACTGTATTTAAAACCCACCCTAGCTCCACTGGGTCTATGCCTTCTGCTCAGCCCATCCCCTTTAGAAAGAAACACAAAGGACCTACTCTGTGGGAGTTTGGTTCAAGAGAGCGAGATCTTTTCTTTCTGGCTATCCTCTCAGCAGACATCTCCTGGTCTCTCCTGTTCTTCAGCACCCCCCTGGCTGGGCAGCACAGCTGGCTGCCAGCTGTGGGCTCTGACAGCAAACTCCCGATACTTGCACTGTCTCTTGTCTGACAGTCTGGGGTGGAATCGGCCTCTAGATACTTGAGCTCAAGCATATCCTCCTTAGAGAAGCGGGCTGAGGAGACTTTGCTCCCAAGGTCTCTGTGCTGGGCTCTGGAACGGCGACTGGCTGCAATGAGGGAGATGCTTTTGGTGTTGGCAGCAATTTCCTTCAAGGTCTCCAGACTCAGTGGAACAGCAGCAATGTCTGCAGGCGACTTTTTCCCACGCAAGTCTAGCAAGGTGGGGGAACGCAATCTGGGAATCATCTTTTCTGCAGCAACACCTGTTGGTTTCTGCTAAAAATGAAAGCAATTGCAGCATAATCTGCTTTTCATTCAAAGCCTTTATACTTTTCGCCTTCAAAGCACTTTCAAATATTTAGAAGACATTAAATTTCACCTGAAATACTGCTATAACAACTTCTATGTGTAGAGAAAGAAAGGCAAAGCTTTTTGTCTGTGTTATCTCCCATACAGAGCCATGGCTACAAAATGAGTCAGCCGGCGAGCAAGAGACTGATGAGCTCCTAACTCTCCTTTCTGTTCCAGGGTACCGAGTGAAATCGATCTCACCAGGTAGTCACCAAATCAGGGCCCAGCAGATCAGTTAATGGCATAAAAGGAGGTGATCATCCTGGACAGCACAGGTCCCCTCACACCAGACCGTGCATTCTGTGGCGCATCCCTTTTTACAACGCCTGTCACTCCACTGGACACACCAGAGCCTGCGCGGGTCGTGCAGAGGGGGAGCCCAGATCAGAGGTGGCAGCTAAGCCTTGGGCTCTTAAGTGAATCCCAGGCCTTAAACCCAAGGCCAGTGTTCTAGGAGTGATTTTATTGCCTGCCAAGGTTTAGCTTTCTCACATACAATAGATTTAGCTGCTGTGCACGTTCTGCCATCACAAGAGGAAGGTGCTAACCATGACAAATATTTCTTGAATTCGGTTCCTGCCATACTGACCTGCTGGACTGGGCCTTTTGGCAAAACAGAGAAAGTTGGGCTGAGATGGGTATCCAGAGACCCCTGCTTCCTACAGGGTGTGGTTTTAGATGATCTGCAACTGCCACTGTGAAATGAATGTACCAAGAGGTTAATAGGTGAAAGCAAAGGCCCTTTATCAACAGGGAGAGATGAAATGTGTCTCAGTGAGAGCTCTCAAGCTGCGGGGAAAGCCAGAAGCCTGGTAAATGCGGTAATAAAGAATGCAGCAAGGACAGACTTCAGGATTCATGGAGGAGAGAGATTTTGTCCCCTGATCCTCACAAACTTTGCTACTTTATTTGGTTTAAACGCTTGCCAGTCAACAGAAACAAATCCAAACACCTGCCATAGCCCTCTGCAGAGAAGCTTCCTGCTAAAACACAAAGCTATTTTGCAAGAGCAGTACACCAGGAAACTTTTCTTACAGATTCCAGTTTCTGGAGGTTCTTCCAGTTTGGTATCCCCCAGCTTTGGGGACTTAGCTGGGAGCTGCCAGGTCCCTGTGCCTTAGAGAGTAAGTCTAATAATGAGAAAGGTTCACATTACCTGTCTGACTCAAGGGGGATGGAGGGAATGTCAAACTTCACCCCCCAGGGAAGATCCTTCATGTTCCCAGGTAGACCCTTTCTGACCTCATCTTTATTTAGATCCAGATGCTGACTTACACCCAGAGACGGGCTGTTGTGGGGCTGCAGGAAGAGGGAAGAATGAGATCCTCAGCAGATTTTTCTCAATGTAAAGCCCCTCCCCTAGCCCTGGCTCCCAGCCTGCGGTCACAAAGACACTTTTCCTCGTGTGTTTTTCCACAGTTCCAGCCACCGGTTATTTGCTCCCCTCCTGTGGAAGGGCACCCGAAGTAGTTTAATCTCTCATATAACAACATGGCTAGCATTGTTATTATTCAAGGTGAAATAACCCAACTCCTTGCCCCGTTCATTCTAGGCAGTCATAATAAACAAGAGACGCTGCTGCTTGGACTCCCTGCTAAGACTGGCAATTTCCTGGCAGCCCCTTACTGTCTCAAAACACACACAAGTTTTCCAAAGACAAAGGGGCCAGCAGCATCTTTCCCTTCTTGCAGGAAAGACCTGAAGAAGTCAGTAACAACTGTGCCACGAGCAAGCAGAGGCCTCCAGAGAGGATGGTCTCCTTCAGCAGTCACTTGGAGAGTTGCATGTTTGCCCATCTAACCTTTGCTTTTCTGTTTGCCACCAAGCCAGTTCTCTCTCTCAAATCTAATTCAACAGCAACTGGGAGGATGAACATGCTGGCTCATGCGCAGCCCTGCCTGGGTCCTTGTCTGTCTCTAAAAGCCTTGTTAATTCTCCGAGTCAAAGGGAAGGAGGGGAGGAAAGCAGAGCCGTAGGGAGACAACATGTTCATAAAACAAAGCTCTGTACAGCTCCTGACTGGCACCAGGACCCAGCCAGGCCTTGGGCATGCGTGACAACTGGGAGGATGAACATGCTGGCTCATGCGCAGCCCTGCCTGGGTCCTTGTCTGTCTCTAAAAGCCTTGTTAATTCTCCGAGTCAAAGGGAAGGAGGGGAGGAAAGCAGAGCCGTAGGGAGACAACATGTTCATAAAACAAAGCTCTGTACAGCTCCTGACTGGCACCAGGACCCAGCCAGGCCTTGGGCATGCCAGGCCATGGCATCTATGGCCATGACAAAAGATCATGGAGCAGCATGGATTCTCCAGCACAAAGGTCTGCTCTGCCTTATACCCTGAGCATGCTGGACATCACCGAATGTAGCAGAAGCAGGCGGTTCTGCGTCCCCTCCTCCAACTCCAAGAGGTGGTGTAACCTTGCCAGTGTCTCTGGGACAGGAATGTTCTGGGCTGGAGCAGAGATGGGGAGGAAGAGTTAAAGATCACTCCTAGAGAAACAGCTGAGAACTGTGGAGTCATGACATCCAAGACAAGTTTTTCTGGCTGGACTGTTCTCCACTTTGGCATCAGAAAACAAAGCTTAGAGATAATGATAGAGCAGGAGCGAAGGCACTGCTTTACCTTTTATCAGCATCTGCTGCTGCTGAATAATTTCTTCACAGAGTAGCATGTGCTGCTGCAGTTGCTGGATCACAAAATCCTGGCGCAGTAGATTCTCCTTGTACAGTGCACTTGCCTGCAGCTCTGCATTGCTAAGCTCAAGCTCATGGGCTCTGCAGAGAAGCCTTAGCACCTCCTGCTGATCCTCATTGGTGATTTGTCTGGGGAAAAACTCTTCCATCTGGGAAGTTTTTTCCTTGGCATTTGCTAAATGCTGGTCCAGCTCTGTCTGAAAAAACAGATAGGAGATTGTCAAGGCAGTTCAGCTTCTTGGGATAACAAAGGCGTCTGAGCAAATCTGTGCTGTATCCTTCATGCTGAGATTAAAGTAACATCTACAAAAAGTATTTGGCTTATTCTGCTAGAGGCCACCGTGTTTCAGTCACGGCAGATGTGTCCAGATGCATGGTCCTTGCCTAGAGGAACTTACAGATGTTAACATTAGCTACCAAAAAAAAAAAAAAATAACCAAAAGTGATTACCAAAACATTGAACAACCAGTGAGTGACAAACCCTCAAAACGTCCCTGAAAGGGGAAGAACTGGCTCACTTAGAATCATAGAATCACTTTGGTTGGAAAAGACCTTTGAGATCATCGAGTCCAACCTTTAACCTACCCCTGCCATCCCACCACTAAACCATGTCCCTCAGCACCTCATCTATCCTCCTTTTAAATACCTCCAGGGATGAGGACTCTACCACCTCCCTGGGCAGCCCATTCCAGAGCCCGACAACCCTTTCGGTGAAGAAGTTTTTCCTAATGTCTAGCCTAAACCTGCCCTGGCTCAGTTTCAGACCATTCCCCCTCATCCTATCATCTGTTACCAGGGAGAAGAGACCGACCCCCACCTCACTACAGCCTCCTTTCAGGTAGCTGTAGAGGGCGATCAGGTCTCCCCTCAGCCTCCTCTTCTCCAGACTAAACAACCCCAGTTCCCTCAGCCGCTCCTCGTATGACTTGTGCTCCAGACCCCTCGCCAGCTTGGTTGCTCTCCTCTGGATATGTTCCAGCAATGCAACATCTTTCTTGTAGTGAGGGGCCCAAAACTGAACACAGTATTCGAGGTGCGGCCTCACCAGCACCGAGTACAGGGGCACGAT